TATATGCCCAAGGCAAGACGCCTACGGCCCCAAGACGCCTATGGACCCAATGAGGGCGAGGATGCGCACCATTTGTCTTAATACGGTGTCAAAGGTACAAATCGCCACAAGGATGCGTAGTGTGAAGCGCTGCCCCGTTAAAGTAACAAATGTCCAGCAGGTGCATGTCAGCACCATGAGGCTTCCACCTGCCGACCTGCCGGTTTCGCTCTCTCGGAACAGGCGGACGCAGACCTTGACCCGCCGGCCCCAGTGGGCCTTCAGGCACGCAGGCCGAAGCCATCAAGTGCACCCCAAGCTGCGATTCGCCCCCAAAGGCGGAAGAGAATGCCGGGCAGCGGTTCTTCGGTGAGATTGCAGGCGGTTTGGTGTTGCACAGGCCCTGCAAGGGCCAAGAGCGGCCCGACGGCGCGGGCCCTGAAAACCAACGAAGCCCCGAGGCGACCTTCTCGGTTGCTGGGAGAGAGGGGCCGGCAGCAAGGGCCATAGGCCTTGGCATGTCTTTGTCAGGTAATCCGGCCGAGCAAAAAAAAACACTTGCCCCAGGATGCATGGCCCATGCGCATGCGACACAAGAACATCATCGGTTGTCACGTTGCCAAATGGCGAAGAAATGGATTTGGAAATCAGCACGGTCCTGCGTTGGCCTAACTGAAGTGCGGTTCGCAATGACTCTTCTGGGTCGACCGTGCTGGGGTCTTGCAGTGCATGCATTGAAAATCCGCAGGCCCGCCCACGCAGCCACCAAACTCAGCGCGCGAGGGTCCGCGACCACCCGAGCAGCAGCGAGAATCCGACCAGGACGTGCACACCAGAAAAATAACACATGTGAGCGACATGGGCCCCTGGTCTTCCCGCCAGATTCCCCGCGGCCCGCTCTGTTCCCCTGCGCGGGCCAATCCTGTCCTGCCCTCAGGATGGCCGCGGCAGAACAGTGCTCGCTTTTCTCGCACGCACTGTTCCCAGAGGCGTTAGCTAGTAGCGACACTCGGGCCCCAGCTTCGCCTCCCTCTTCTCGCAGCGGCTTGCCCCGATCCCAATGCTGTAGCTGTCGACATCGGGCTCTGCCTTCGCCTCCCACTTCTCGCAGGATGGCGGCGGCAGAACATTGCTCGCTTTTCTCGCGCGCACTGTTCCCAGAGGCGTTAGCTAGTAGCGACACTCGGGCCCCAGCTTCGCCTCCCTCTTCTCGCAGCGGCTTGCCCCGATCCCAACGCTGTAGCTGTCGACATCGGGCTCTGCCTTCGCCCCCCACTTCTCGCAGGATGGCGGCGGCAGAACATTGCTCGCTTTTCTCGCACGCACTGTTCCCAGAGGCGTTAGCTAGTAGAGACACTCGGGCACCAGCTTCGCCTCCCTCTCCTCGCAGCGGCTTGCCCCGACCCCAACGCTGTAGCTGTCGACATCGGGCTCTGCCTTCGCCTCCCACTTCTCGCAGGATGGCCGCTGCAGAACATTGCTCGCTTTTCTCACCCGCGCTCTTCCCAGAGGCGTTAGCTAGAAGAGACACTCGGGCTCCAGCTTCGCCTCCCTTTTCTCGCAGGCCCTCCTTCTCGCACGGACGACCCCCAGCGTTGCAGCTGATCGTGGCCCACCCGCGCATTTTGCACAGCGCCAGCGTCCGCTGCCACTGCGCGCTCCCTTTCTCGCACGGATTGCCCCCAGCGTTGTAGCTGATCGTGGCCCACCCGCGCCTTCGTCCCTGTCGCAGCGCCAGCTATGGCTGCCACTGCTTGCTGTCTCGCAGCGTCAGCTCTGCCTGCCACTGCTGGTCTTCTCTCACGGCCTGATCCCTACGCTGTAGCTGATCACGACTCTGTTGCCCCCGCTCTCTGCCCGCGGCGACGCATCGGCTGGCGCCCCGGTCTGCCAGGAGGTGGAGGAGGGTGGAGACGGAGAGGAGGAGGGGGCGGGGGGGGGCGGGCATCCGGGCAGCTGCGCGCTCGCCTGATCTCAGCGTTGTAGCTGATGACGTGGGGCTCCGCGCTGCTTCTCCATGACTCGGGCGCGCAGCGCCACTTCGAAGTTTGCGCGCCGCATCGTCCAAGGGGCCCGGTGCAGGGGGGGGCCGCTCGGACGCGAAATGGCTTGAGCCAAAATGGATTGAGCCAAAATGGCTACGGCGCATTGATGTGGGAAGCGGGAGGCGGCAGGGAGAAGGAGAGGATGTTTTGGGAAAACAAGTACGGTAGGTTTGTGTCGTGACGACTCGGCGCAAGGTAAATGACTCGAGCAAAATCATTCAATATTAAATTCATTGCGCGCCTAAATTACTCAATTTTAAATAAATTACGTCTGAATCACACCGTCTGAAAAGGCGTCCCAAGCGCTTTCGGAGAGTCTGGCACAGCGACGCCTCGCAGGACTCTGGGAGGCGTGTAGGTTACCGCGGCTGGCGCACTTCGCATGCAAGGCGGAACGCCTTGCCGCAACAGTCGCGTGCAAGGCGGAATGTCTTGCACACGGCGGCACGCGCAAGACAGGTCGACGAAACCTTGTGCGCGAGCCCGCGGCCCCGGGCGACGCCTCGCGGAGACTGTGAAGCTGCGCTGGGCGCCGCGGCCGCGCATTTTGCATGCAAGACGGAACGCCTTGCGCAACGGTTGCGTGCAAGGCGAAATGTTTTGCGCACGGCGGCGCGTGCAAGAGGGGCGACGCACCCGAATCGTTCCGAAAGCGCCCTAATTGCCACAGAAATCTTCCGAATTGTTCCAAAAACCCCTGAAATGATTCCGAAAAATTCCTCAATTTCGACCCGAATTCCGGGAAACAGCCGCTAAAAACTATATAAAACGATGTGAACACCCGCTTGCCCACCCGCTGGAAAGTATATAACCTGGGCCCAGGCAAGCTTTCCCAAGCTTGACTGCGCCGAGCTTGGGAAACCTCTGATTCCCCAAGCTTGGGAACCCAAGCTCCCCCCAGCTTGACTGAGCCAAGCTTGTACACCACAGGTTCCCCAAGCGTGGCAAACCCAAGCTTCCCCCAGCTTCACTGAGCCAAGCTTGGGAAACCCCTGACCCCCCAAGCTTGGGAAACTCAGGTCCCCCAAGCTTGGGAAACCCAAGGTTCCCCCAGTTTGACTGAGCCAAGCTTGGGAAACCCAAGGTTCCCCAAGCTTGGGAAACCCAAGCTTCCCCAAGCTTGACTGAGCCAAGCTTGGGACGCACTAGGTTCCCCAAGCTTGGGAAACCCAAGCTTCCACCAGCTTGACTGCGCCAAGCTTGGGAAACCTCTGGTTCCCCAAGCTTGGGGAACCCAAGCTTCCGCAAGCTTGACTGGGACATCCTTGGAAACCTCTGGTTCCCAAGCTTGGGAAACCTCTGGTTCCCAAGCTTGAGAAACCCCATATAAGGAATCCAATGTAGAGAAGCCCCACATAGGGAATGCCCATATGGGGAAACCCCTATGGGGATTCCCCGCGTAAGGAACCCTAATATGGGAAATCCCCAGATGGGGATCCCTCATAAGGGGGGTCCTCGTATGGGAATACCCCGTACGGTGCGTCGCATATACGGAATCTTCGTGTGGGAAAACCCCATATAAGGAATCCCTATATGGGGTCTCCTCATGTTGGGGGATCACCATGTTAGGAATCACCATTTCAAGAACCTCCATGTGAGGAATCCCCATGTAGGGAATCGCTTATTTGAGGATTTCCTATATTAGAACTCCGTATATTAAGGCCCCCATACATGGGGTTCCTTGTATGGGGATTCCTTGCATGGGGACTCTCTATATGAAAGGGGTTTCCAACATTGGGATTCCGTACATGGCGATTTCCCGTATGGGTATTCCCCATATGGCGATTCCCTATGTTGGGTTTCCAAATGGGGATTGCCCATACGGGAACTCGCCATGGCAGCCCCCGGAACTCTCACAACTCCCGTAGTCCTGACAGCCGCTGCCCCTTGACTCAAACGCAAAGCGCTGGCGCGGACAGGAACCGTATTCTTTTCAAACGACGGGGGCCAGCGCAGCGCGCCCTTACCCCTTGACTCAATCGCAAATCGCGCGCGCGGACAGGGACCGTTTTTTCTCCAAATGACGGGGGCCAGCGCAGCGCGCCCGTGCCGCTCCACTCAAACGCAAAGCGCGTGCGCGGGCAGGATTCTTTTCCAAATGAACGGGGGCCGCAATGACGCGACTCGACGGCGTGGCGTTGAGCTCGACTGGCAGCCCGCTCCGCGCAGACCCGCTGCCCACGCGCCCCGCCGCCCCCGCGCCCCGAACAAACACCACAGGCCCAAGAGCTTCGTAAGATGTCGCCCTGGACCCCGCGACCGCCGCGCGTGCCTATCGGGGCAGTCGCCGCCAGCGCCGCTACCAACGCAAGGATTCTCGCCCAAGCGGCCCTCGCCCACGGGGCCCTCGCCCACGCTGCAACGAAGAATTGAGCCTGGAGCCAAAATGGCAACGAGCCAAAATGGCGACGAGGGAGGAGGAGGAGAGGAGGAGGAGGGGAAGGAGGCGGAGGAGGAGGAGGGAGAAGCGCGGGTGCGGGACAAGAGAAACCCAAACACGGAGAAACTTGCCTGCAAAACCTCCTCCTGCTCCTGCTGTCGAACAACGGCGGCCGCAACTGCAGCGGCGATGGCGCCCCGCCGGACCAGTGCTGGCACGAAGCGCGCGCCTGTCGCCATCTCCTCGTCCTTCTCCGCCTCCTCGTCCTCCTCCCCCTCCGCCTCCTCCTCAGGGGTCCTGGTGTTTCCTGGTCCCTCCTGGGCTCAGGGGTCCTGGTGCTTCCTGGTCCCTCCTGGTCCCTCCTGGTCCCTCCTGGTCCCTCCTGGTCCCTCCTAGTCCCTCCTGGTCCCTCCTGGTCCCTCCTGGTCTCTCCTGGTTCCTTCTGGTCCCTCCTGGTCCCTCCTGGTCCCTCCTGGTCCCTCCTGGGCTCAGGGGTCCTGGTCCCTCCAGGCCCCTCCTGGCCCCTGACCCACAACCCAGGCACTTATGTTATCATATGTTTTGGGTTATGTTTGCGTTGGCACTTCTTCTGTTTTGTACTACTTGTTTTGTTTTTTTTCGGCTGTCTGCCCTGCCGGACAGCTGAGTACCCAGTGTGCGGCTGATGACACAGAGCGGTCGGCGCACGGCTCGCGCAGCTGGCACGGTACGTATAAAGCAAATCGCGCACCATCTTTGTGTGCGACGCATGTCTATGTAGCGAATCTCTCTCTCCACGCACTTCACATGTTCTGGATGACAGCCAGGGCGCCAGATGCGCCCAGACCACGCGCCAAACGCGCGCCAACATGAAAGTAATGTACTCATGGAAGTGCCATTTCTTCTTGATGTGTCTGGGATCCCATGCATTTTTCCTCACGGTAACTTCAGGTCTGGGGCGCCCGCAGCAACTCACTCGTCAGGGACGGGGGCAGATTTGCACGAATGGGGAGGAAACAACTAAGAGTCCAGACACGCCCAGTATTTGGGGTGATGGCTGGGCCACTGGTTCGACAAACGCTCCCGAGAACAGCTCCCGAGCCCGAACACCAGTAGACAGCCAGGGGCCCAACCCATGAGGGCGAGTTAAATACTTGCCCTTGAAAAAAAAACACGTGGGAGCCACTTGGAACTCCTGGCGAGTGGACCGAGGGCCTCGGCCCCAAGGGAAATGGTCGCAGACGTCCCGCAGAAGGAGCAAAACAAAAGCGGGCCTGAACCCTCAGAGGACACGGGGAAAGAAGAGGAGGAGGTGGAGGAGGTGGATGTGGAGGTGGCGGTGGAGGTGGAGGAGGAAAAAGAAGAAGAGGAAGAGGAAGAGGAAGACGCAAGCCCAATGAATTCCGCCGGAGAAACGAGGGAGCCACGAGTAAAGATGGAAAGCGCGGCAATTCCTTTAGCCGCGTTGGGTGTCACCCTCAAGTTTACTAGGGGATCCCCGGCGCCGGAAACGCTTGCCACTCCGAGCTCTGGAGCCTCTGGCCTACCGGAAACGATAGCCACTGGACGCGATGCGCTACTAGCTGCTGCAGTGGCCGAAGGGTCCTCCCGCGGCGGGGCAGACCCAGGCCCCAAATTACTAGACGACCGAGGGTCACTGCCGCAGCGAAGGCTACCGCGATGGCCTCTTCCCAAGCCGGTGAGAGGGAGGAGGGAGAGAAGGAGGAGGAGGAGGAGCCGGCAGAGGCAGCAGCCACAAGCTTCTGCAGCGGGGAGGGCGCGCAGACCGTGCGCTCAAGACGCTGCTTGGCCTCGTCAGTGCTAGCAATGGCTGAACAAAAGGCGCAGCGCCAGAAGCCTCCAAAAACAGGGTTGCGGCGATGACGCCCCGACACCACCTGTACTAGTGCCGTGGGCGTTACGGGGCGTTTGGTTTTTTTGTTTCACCAGCGCGTCGCGCTCCTCCTGCTGCTCACCCAGTGGCTCTAAGATGGCCTACGACGGCCCAAGAGGCTCCCAAGAGGCCCTCAAGACAGTCCAAGAGGCCTCCAAGAGGGCCTCCAGGAAAGCCCGAAGAGGCCAAAATCATAAATGTTATTAAGTGTTTGATGGTTTTTGGCAGTTGTTTCTTTTCGGCCTTCCGACGGTCCGAGGCGGCCCAGGAGCCCCGAAACATCGCCCAAAAGGCCTCCAGAATGCCCCCAGCACGGCCCAAGAGGCCCCCAAAACGGCCCCAAGAGTTTGAAGGGGGTCGGAAGGTCCAACCAGCAGCTTCGCCTACGACGAGGCCCGGCTCCTGTTTTTTGTACCGTAGTAAAGATTGTCCCAGACGCTGGAGGTCGTCGCGGGAGCGACGGGCCATCTCAAGCAGAATTTTTTCGTGATGAGGCACAGTCATATCTCGGAGGACGGCCGCTTGAACACAGACGGCCGCGGACAAACGCTCGTTATCTCTCGCCTTTGCCCCAGCTGTCTTTAGAGTCGGGGGGGGGGGGGGGGGGGCGAAGCGAGAGTCCGCCGCCCGCTATACAGTAAACACTATATGCACAAAAGGCAGCAAAGGCAGGTTCGCAAGGAAGGTAAACCCGCACGCATGTGCCCTTGCACGCAAGTTGCCTTGCGAGCAGATCGTTGCGCAAACGAGAAAACCCTCGGGCGGCCTCAGACGGCGTCGTCTGGCCCGCCCGGTACGGAGTACGACGTTTTCACTCATGATTGAAGGATTGCGTTCCTCCCATGACATGTAGGGAGCAGCGCGACGCAGCAGGAAGCCGCGCCCATAGCGCCGAGGCCAGCACAGGGGAGCGCGCGGCAGCGAGATGGCGGGGGGCGTTGCTTCCGCGAACGTCATCGGCAACGCTTACCTCAGACCAGGAGGTGCCACTGACCACTCTGTACACCCTAGCGGAGCGGATGGGCCATCACTTGTCGTATCCAACTGATGTGTCCCAAAAGAGCGCGCTCAGTCGGCTTCTTCAGGTCTTTGTTTGACAAGGACTTGAAGACAGATTCAGCATCTATGGTCAAAGTGACCCTCATGCTGAGACAACCCATATCGAGCCCATCCTTCAACTGAGTGGGTGTCAGTGGCCCTGCGTGGAGTTCGTGCAGAGTAACGATCGTGGGATAGCAGTATTCCAAATTGTGGGCTGCTGCTTGTGTTTCTGCTGAATAGCTTGAACGGACCTGCAAGCGGCGAGACTTGCAGTGCGCATCGATCAGATGGACGACAGGCGTGCCAGTTTGTGTGTTCCCACGCCGCAGCAGGTTTCCCCGCGGATACCATAGCCTTTTTGACCTCGGTGTCAGTACCTCCGCTCAGGCGTCGATCGCCGGAGTCGCTGCACATGTCAACTTCGCCCGTTGGAGTCATCGATTGATAGATGGCCATATTAGGGCAGGCCTGCAACTTCCTGGTAAAAGCGCCCAGTCGTCGCAACTGTACGATGGTCGGTGCTTGGACATGTTGTAGAGAAACAGCATGCACCATTAACCACACCTGTGATTAATGCGTAAGCCAACGCGCCTCTGAAGCTAACAAACATGCCAGTAACCATTATTGACGCTTTGGCGTCAGCGTCTGCGCCTGCGTTCAGGATGTTGTATAGGACGGAGCTGTTTGATGTATTCATCTTGATGCGGTGTAACGTCACCGTAACCATCCTTGGTGTAACTCACAGCACAATAGGTATATGTATGTTTGCTGAGTCTACAATTACCAAAAGTATCCTCGAGGCACTTGACGCACCTGTCGATGGCGTCCTCGGTGCCGGCCGCATATCATTCACATGCTTGGCTGTAGGAAGGTAGTTACTTGTCTCGAACTCCTCGTCGTAAGACGCGGGTCTGAGACCAAGACCCCCCGTGGTCTTTCTGGGCTTCAGTGAGAAGGCTCTGGGTGCATCCTTGGTGCCTGTACCTGGCTCGAGGCACTGCAAGCAATGGTTTGACACATCGCAATGCTCGAATCCCACGAGGGATCGAGACACCGATGCCGATCCAGGTGGCTGCGTGAAACACACCGCGCGCTCCCTTTTCACCCTTTGCCTCAGCAAGTCCCTGGTCGGCCAATCCCTCCAGGAAAGCCATGTTTATGTCGAGGGAAGCAATGGCCCACTGCATCTTGCACGCTGCCGCGCTTGCGAAAAGTCTCTGTCTTGACCGCCGTGCTGTCACTGAGAAGGTTTCCACATCGAATACCTCGAGGCCCATGAAACCGGGAAGTACCAAGCGCAATATGCTGGCCCTTTCCATATCGCCCTTATCGTGCTTTACGACCTTCCACTTATATCCGCATCTCGAAGACATGATGTTTGACGCCGTTTGAAACATGTTGCACATTGTAACACTTGTTGTCAAATCATGTATTGAGCTTAATGTGAAGAACCTTTGGTACCTTGGTTGGATTCGCCTGAAGATCGGCCTTCGCGAGGAGGTCGTCCTCTTTGCCGACCGCAGCTCGTTTTGCGGCAGCGGTCGCATATACTCGCGCGGTGGTCACGCGGTCGAAGTCGAATATCCTATGCTGCTGTTCGGATAGAAATGTAGACCTCTATAGATTGACCGTTCTCGTCCGAGTCCAATGCGTAAGTATGGCCTTCGTCCGTGGCAAAAAGGGACATGATATGTCTCCGTGATGTCGGGGTCGCTTGGGTAGCCCCACGCAGGCAGGTGCCCCCGCTGTTCTTCAGCTACCGCGACCAGCACATTATTGTCGGTGATCGTATGTGTAGGTACACCGCAAGGGTCATCTAATGAAGCTGCCTCCAGCCATTCCCTTTCTCCCTGTAGTTCTGCGCACCACACTTCCATGATATGTGCCTCAAGGTCCGCTTCCGATTACTCATAAGTCGTGGGAAGCCGTCCGACCTCCTGGTGGTTCGGCTGTTTGAGCTTCTCTGGCGTTGTTGTCCTGCGTCGGCACGTCTGCCAGTTCTTTAAACTTCGCCATGTCTTCGTCTAAGCCCGCTTGAGGTTTAGTGGACTGTGACATTGGATCGCCCCCGAATGTGTTGACCCCGTTACCATGTACATGCAGGGCAGTACCTTCAGCTTCATAGCAGTGGAAGCATGGGTTCACGTCGCTAGCATAGCGCACCCAATGTACAGCTGTCGGCATAAGCAACCAGAAGTAGCTCGTGGATACTCTCAGTAGCTGAGCCGACAGAAACTACGTTCTCGATACGAAGAAGTTCCTGCTAAGGCATTGGAGAGCTAAGTGTATCTTAGGAGATAGTCGTCTCGCACTTGTCATCTGGTAGGGATGTAGCCAAATGTCATAGCAGGTCGCCCCGCAGGTAGGCTGGCGACAAATGTCAACACTGTCCGTAGCGCAGCGTTGTCTGAACAAATTTCTCGGGCCATCAAAGTTTCGATGTATAGTGAATGTCGTGCGTCGCCGCATTGGACTTGTACATCGCGGTTTCCCACTCGGATAATTACTTGGCCCCTGCCGGGATCGCCCCGCACGACCGGGAAAAAGCCGCCCCAGTCTCCCCAGTCGCCCTTCGTAGTCGCGGGACGATGAAAGTCGACCAAAACTCCTTCATCATAGTATTGCTGACCAGTGATAGTCGTCTGAGTACGCAATGCACAATTGGTTTTGGCAACTGCAATAGCTTGAGCGATAGCCTCAATGCATGCCCGGCGGACCACCTGTTCACGAGAGTGATCGGATGTCTCTGTCTGTTGTTCATGATCCAGAACAGTCAGGTCGGGAAGCATTGCTGGTTGCCGTCTTAACAGGGCGTCGCACGGAGACACCCCATTGTAAAAGGTCAACGCGCTGGCGGCAACTAACGCTTCATGCAATAGTCGCGTGAACACAAAAAGTATATCTAACCCTTTTGAATTCGGTTTCCACAACGTGAAGTAAATTGCGGCACATGCCACTTCTGGCTTCGATTGCCGCAGCGCGTTGTCCACGCGCGCGTGTCCTCAGCTCACTGCCATTTGCCTTAAGGACTGTTTTAGCGGCGTCGTGGTTAAGGGCATCCTCCCCGTCGGAGTAGAATCCCTTCGCAGGTCCGAATTGCATCCAGCACTGATGATACGCATCTGAGATACTGGTCATTGTTTGACCTGGTATATCAGTGCCAATAGCACATCGGATGCAGCGATCAATGATGTGACATATCCGATGTTCCTGTTTGTAGAACATTAAATCGCATTCGATTTCTTCATTAAACTTGCCAGGTAGCGCAGTGAATGGCACAACCGCATGCCCCGGTTTGCCCCAAGCCCTGCACTCCCGACATGTGTCACAAACACCTTTTGTCAAGTTAGTCCTGACGTTGCCCCTACCAGCGTCGGTTAAGACGAGTCGCATCTTAGGCTCTTTAGCATGAAGCCATCGCAAAAGGTAACGTCCGCAACTCGCGTGTTACCACGCTCGGGTCAAGGCTTCGCAGGTTATGTAGACCAATTTGGACATCGAACCTTGACCAGTCTGGGAGTCGTGGTCGCGTAGCCAGGTCACCCGCAGGGTGGTGGAGGTGGATATCCTCCCCGATGTCGACCACGTCTGGCAAAGATCTGCGGTAGTCGTCTGTGATCATCCGAGCAAACGGCCCCGCGTGAGGCATGTTGCCCCCGCAGCAGGCGCAGCAGCATGTCTGCCGACTGTAATATCGCGGCTGCTGGCACCTGCTGTGGGTCCAGCAGGTCTCGGCACTCGTAGCCGCACACGTGGTGGCGCGGCTGATGCCTCGGGGGCGGCTGCCGCCGAAAGTGGCGGCGCTGCCAGGTCGGCAAGAGCCGGAGGTCCCGGGCAGCCCCCACGGTTTGGCAGACTTGAGTTCGCGAGGCGTCCGTGCGTGACCGGGCTCGTTCTGGCCGGAGTTCTTCT